ATACCATAGTGAAGTGGTAAGTGAAGCCATACCCTTAGTGAAGACTGCCAGTTCAGTTCCTTGTAAATATGCAAAGAGGATGCTCAGCTGAAATACTCCCTGAAAAATTAATTTCTTTACCTGGGAGATGTGATGAAATGGATTTTTTTTCTATTTTCCTAATTTTTTCCTAACCATCAGAATTCAGTGCAGGGGTTTCAGAGCTACCTAAGGAGAAGGTAATACACTCTGTATGACACTGATTAATTACCTTCTTTGCATCCCTACAGCTAACCCCAAAAGCACTGACTGTCCAGAAGTATTCCTGCAGTCCTGGAGACATTCTTGAGAAAACCATATTGTGCAGAAGATTAGGATATGATTCACAGACAGGGCAACTCCTCCCTTGGGGAAGTAGAGCAGAAACCACTAATATTAGCATGACATGCTGGAATAGTTATGCTAAAGAGGAGGTCAATCAGAACAGGGACATTGCCAGAAAAGGAGGACTAAGGCATTCTGTCAAATGTAAAACCCTAACAAGTGCATGAACAAAGGAGGGTAAACAGCACAGAGGGAACAAACTGTACCAACTAGCTGCTCTGGTACATTTTTTAGTGATGGGCATTAGGAACCAGCCACCTATGTGCAACACCTATTTAACAGGTAAAAGTTAGCCTGTTTGCTCATTTAATTTTAAATAATTATGTTAAAGAAGTTACAATTACACCTGTAATCCGCCCACCATTAAAAACTGTAATGAACAGAGAATTGTGATACAAACACTTCAACACTATAGAAATATTCTTGCCAGTCTTTCTAAAACAGTTGATAATTTCACAATTACTATAGCTGTGCAAATCAAGTCTGTGCCTGCTTTATACAGCACTAATTCAACCTGCCATGCTCCCAACAGAATTATATGAGACCTAAGTATATGAACCAAGTTATAATTTGTTTGCAGATATTACCAGTTTTGTGGTACATTTCATAACCAGGTCACTACACTCAGGAATGCTGCTGAGGATCATATGTGCACGGATGAATAGTGTCCTAACAATGGTTAGAAACAATTTGCCTATTTCAAGACTTTCTGAAGTAATTTTTACCACATCTTTAAGAAAGCAACTCCAATTTCTCCTCATTCTCAAATAATTCATAACAACTCACAAAGTTCTGATTAACTTCATTGCCATCAGAACACCTTCATGCTGCAGCTGGACACCTCAATTCTATAGATAAAATAAAGCAGGGAAGACTGGAATTCAAGTTTTCTTTTTTTCTCCACTGCCTTTGTTTTTCTTTTTTTTTTTCTTGAATCTTCATCCAGCCCTGGTGGGGCCACATCTGGAGTGCTGTGTCCAGTTCTAGGCTCCTCAGGACAAGAGAGACATGGGAGCTCCTGGAGTAGATCCCACAGAGGGTGACAAAGATGATTAAGGAGCTAGAGCATCTCTCTTACATGTGAAGGCTGAGGGAGCTGGGCCTGCTCAGCCTGGGGAAGGGACAGCTGGGAGGGGACCTCACCAATGTCTGGAATTGTTAGTTCATGGAGCAGATCATCTTGAGTGCCATCATGTGTTACATACAGGACAACCAGGGGTTCAGGACCAGCCAACAGGGAATTAGGAAAAGCAGGTCCTGCTTGAGCAACCTGAGCTCCTTGTACGACAAGGTGACCCACTTAGTGGATGACAGAAAGGCTGTGAATGTTGTCTACTAGACAAGCCTTTGATACTGTTTCCCATAGCATTATCCTGGAAAAAGTGGCTTCCCAGGACTTGGATGGGCATACTGTTTGCTGAATAAAAGCCTGTCTGGATGGCTGGGCTCAGAGAGTGGTGGTGAATGGCAGTAAGCTGGCAGGCAGTCACCACTGGTGCTCCCCAGGGCTCAGTATTGGGGCTCATCCTGTTCAGTACCTTTATCAATGATCTGGACAAGGGGATCAAGTGCACCCTCAGTGAGTTTGCAGGCAACACTAAGCTGGGTGGGAGCGTTGATCTGCAGGAAGGAAGGAAGGAAGGCCCTGCAGAGGGATCTGGACAGGCTGGATTGAGGGGCCAGGCCAATCACATGAGGTTCAACAAGGCCCAGTGCCAGGTCCTGCCCTTGGGTCACAACAACCCCAGGTAGTGCTACAGGCTAGGGGAGGAGTGGCTGGAAAGTGGCCTGGTGGAAAAGGATCTGGGAGTTTTGACCAGCAGCCATCTGAACATGAGCCAGCTGTGCCCAGGTGGCCGAGGCCAATGGCACCTGGCGTGTATCAGCAGTAGTGCGGCCAGCAGGAGCAGGCAGTGATTGCTCCTTCCCCTGTACTCAGCACTGGTGAAGCTGTACCTTGAATCCCATGTTCAGTTTTGGGCTCCTCACTACAAGCAAGACATTGAGGGACTGGAGCTTTTCCAGAGAAGGGCAATGAGGCTGGTGAAGGCTCTGGAGCACAGATCTGATGATGAGGAGCTGAGGGAGCGGGGGCTGTTTAGCCTGGAGAAAGCAGGCAGAAGTGGAACCTTATGAAAAGAGGTTGTAACAAGGCGGAGGTTGGCCTCCTCACCCAAGTAACATGAGATAGGACAAGAGGAAATTGCCTCAAGTAGTGCCAGGGGAGATTTAGATTGGATATTAGAACAATTTCTTCACTGAAAGGGCAGTCAAGCACTGGAACAGATTGCCCAGAGAAGGGGCTTAGTCACCATGCCTGGAGGTATTTAAAAGATGTGTACACGTCGCACTTTGCGACATAGTTTAGTAGTGGATCTGACAGTGCTGCATTAACGGCTGGATGTGATGATGTTAGAGGTCTTTTCCAACCTAACCCATTCTGTGATACTATTATTCTGTAAAAACGAACTTTTTCAGTTCAGAGCAGGGTAAGTACCTTGGATCAAAACTTCAGAAGCACAGATGACATTCTGGATGAAACAGCATTGCACCTGTTATTACTTACCCCCACAGTCTACTCTTATCCAGAAAGCTTTCCATTTATGACTATATTTTTCTTCTTGTTTAAAAGAAACTATGTGATTTTAGCCAGTTTTACTGACACTGACTATCAAATCACATCTGTTCAAATGGATAGACACATGTTGTTATGTTATTTTAGTGGGAAGGCTTCAAGTAACAGATACAGTTTACTAAAATTCATATTTTTAGTATTTATCCTTCATTCAAATCATAGATTTGATTAAATAACATTGCCAGTGTTATTCAATCAAATCTATGACTGGCTTCATCTGGCTTAATTAAATCTTGGTTTGATTAAGATGTGTTCCATCTTTACTGCAGATGATTCTGCTAACTTTCTGTTCTCCAGCCATTTTCTTGTACCTTCTTTATCAAAGGCCAAGAGAATTTATTCAAAAACATAAATTAATATCTATCTTCATGCATTTCACATTTACAAATGTGAACAATTTCTCTGCTAATATGATGTTAAAGGATTAGTATGGCTTTTAAATGAATGTATTTTTTAGTTTAATGTATCAAAAATAAAACCCAGCGGCTTAATTCTCACAATAAATCTTAAATCTTTAATAGAGTTTTAAAACATCATTAAAAAACCGAAACCTAAATTGGATGTGCTAACCTACATTTCCATGTTGGTGCTCTTTCATTTGAAATACATTTTATATGTTAAAAATATTTTCAATTTCTCATTTAAAGGAATCAGAGAAGGCATTTAACACAACTGAAATAATGTAATTTCAGGTGCAATTTAAGCAAGCAGAATAGAACAAAGCAAGTAACTAGAGCCTGAGTATGCCTTTTTATAAAATCATTAATTTAAACCTTAAGGGTAAAAAAAGCTCATTTATTCATCAAGAAGTTAATCCAGTTTGTTCCCTAACTAGGAACCTTTTTTTTTCTTTTTTTTTGTATGTCTATGCTATTCATTAATGAAACAAAAAAATTTCACCCAGGACTTTAGATCTATTATGTAAGTAAACATTACACTTTGATGAAAAAACTTACATTTGAATTTCACATTCACATTACCACTGAGGAGATAAAGGGAATTTTTTTCCTATTGCTGTGTTCACTAGTATTTTCTTTGACTTTTTAAAATTAATTTATCCTCTACTTCAAAATCTCAAATGCAAACAGCACACATGGCAAGAATAGTACTTTTTTCTGTGTAAATTAAGCCCATCATATTCTTCACACCGATAGATGACAAAAAGCTTTTTTCCATTAGAAGTACTCTTTATCTCATATGAATACTATTCTAACCATATATGATATCCTCCCACGAAATACCAAATATTGAATTACAGAAAGATTCTTCAAGGTGAAGGAAAAAGCATTGCAAGAGGAAAACACAATACAAAATCCCAAAATAACAACAAAAAATATTCTTGAAATTCTGTCATTAGTACTGAAAAGCACTTCACTACACAACTTGGAAACCCGACTGTAAATTGGTACCAGTAAACTGATAAGCATATTATTTTATCCACAATAGAGAAGGAGTACATTTAATGATTCAAAAATAAAAAGAGCTTATTTACATATATACATATATAATATTTGTATTACACAATGAGGTTTCTGAAGTAATACCTGCTTGTTATGACAGTATGTCTAGGCAGAGAAACTAGGTAGTACTGAAATGAATTGAATTCCTATTTCATGAAAAGGCACTGGTTTATAATTATGTATACATCTTCTTTCCAAATTACCATTTTTTTCCTAAGCCAGGTTATTTGCTCAATTTCTAGACATACAAAAAAAATGAAAATCTGATTTCTCTTCAATTACCCAGGTACACTAAGAACAATTTATCACAGCACAACTATTAAAAACTTTTTCATTCAATTTTACCAGCTCTAATCTTTTTTGCAGTTGTAACATCTAATACACCTTTTTCATGCAAATGTAGTATCAAATACGAACATTTCAGAAAGAAAAACTCAATAAACTATAACAGTGAAGGCACCTTAAAAGCGAAAATAAATCACTGATCATTAACTTTGATTACTTCAAACACTTGGCTACGCTTTATAGTTTTTATAAATTACCTTACTCTTTGAGGCAATTTTCAGTCAATCCAGTCATAGTCAGAATAACAGTGTATATCAATGCAGCTTGTCAGTCAGACCCTTCTCCTTCACACATCTTGAAATATTGATCCTTCAAAGAAAATACAAAGGACTGTTCACTCAATTCTCAAGCAACACCTGAAGGTAATACAGCCACATTAACATAACACCGTTTTGGATTTCAGCATGTAAAGAAAGAAAAATTGCTATAAATCAACATTAAAGGCCAAATTACTCAGACTTGCTAATCTGAACTGAGAGAGAAGCTGTTGTCCCAGGATTTTAAATTTTACATAGAATTGCCTTACTGCTTATACACTAGAGAAACTGTAATATAACTAAAACCAGAACGTACTCTTTAATCTTTAATATATAATTAAATTTTGGTGGTTTTTCAATTTATCCAGAGATATAGTACCATTAAAAACTGTGCTTTGTTGTATTCATTTTAATCAAATGTTATTTTAATTGGGTCTGTAAGGACATGTAGAAACTACAGCACCATAGGGAAGAAAGTGATTTTTGATCTTCTACTCTTACATCTCTGAAGCCAGCCTTGTTTGCAGTCTCACCTTTAACTTCCCTTCAGGCATTGTTCCCTAGGGTTCCACAGCTTCAATTCCCAATTCAGATTTGCTCAAAAGAATAATGTATCTCAAAGCAGTACTTCTGGAAATCAAAACATATGGAAATGGGGATGTCTTACCAAATTTTCCATATGTTCTATGGGAAGAAGTTGAAACCTAAGGTAGGGCTCCTGGGAAATGCTTCACAGACCACATGGACATTGCACAAAGAAAAAGGCAGCTCTACCCACCAGGTAGATGTTTAAGAAGGTGCCACCATACGAGCACACTACAGAACTGGAGGGCCTCCTTCTAAAAAGGAGCAAGAAATCAAGACAAGACCTTCCTTAGACAAGCAGCTGTGAATGGACTGCATCCCGCCTTCCCTAGCCCTGATTTCTCCTAAGCACCATTCCTTCCAGAAGACAGAAAGGAGCTGCCTTTCCCTCCCTCACAAAACCTGTAAGCTAGCCAGCACCACCAGACTGACAGAAAAGCTATTCTCCACACTGCTGAGTGCAGCCAGCTATGACAAGGAAGGGTGATGGAAAATAAAGCCCAACATGGGAAAAAACCTTAATCAAACCTTGAATAAGAACAGTCTACCTCATACTGAAGAAGAGGGTTTGAGACATGGCTTTTCTTACAGTCAGAATAATAAAATAATAAATCAATAATACACTTGCACAGAAGTCAGTTACAATAGCTAAGGCTGGCTGGCAAATCCAGTCTGCAAAATTAAGGCAGCCCCTCTCCTAGTCCTCCTTCTTTCCTTACAGGAACTTGACTCAAGCTGTTTCACTGCAATCATTTGATAAGTAGTTCACCAGTTTCTAGCTTAAACAAGTTAAATTCATAACTATATTCTACAATTCAGTTACGTCCAAATTTTCCAGGCAACATTTAACTTGAAATTAAAAGCTTCACTTTCTGTCAGAGTCAAATTTAAGGCAGCAAATCAACTTTCATCTCTAAATGCATGAAAACAATATCTCATTCAAGATATATAAAAAAGTTCCAAGGATGAGGGTGTGGGGAATGTGTTGAGGTTTTCTACATTCGTGGGTTTGGTTGGGGTTTTCTTTGTCTTGTTGGGGTTTTGCACTGAGTTTTATACAGAATTGGATCAAATTTATGAAAGGAGGTATATCACGCTGGCTGCCTGTGCAGCAGTCACTAGACAGCAATGAGCAAAGAAACCACTGCAAGATTCCTCTTCCCAGAGGAAAAAAGCAGAAAACAGGCATCAACATATTTAGAGATTTTCAGCAGGACATATGAATACTTTTCCTATAAATCTGAATAACAGAAAAAGGAAAAAAATCTGTGTCTTCTTTAAGATTCATATCACGAAGAGTTTTGGTTTTCTCACATTCGAAATGTGACTAGAACACAAAGGCAACCAGGCTTTTTGTACCCCATATCACTGTTTTAAAAATGTGTACAAGTTTTCACAGCGCATCACAGGGATCTCTGCATTCATACTCATGACACATTTTTAACTTCACAACTCATTCTCTAATAGGAGCTGGTTTCTTTAAAAAGGACTCACTTGGAAGCATTGTCAATGAAATAATAGAGAAGGTAAAGATGAAATAAGATCTTTTCTCACTCTTCTTTAATCTTGATAGTGAGTTCCCAGCATAAGGCTGGGTCCAACACATTAAAACGATTTTCACATATAATGCTTGCTGCTGGGTAGTTGCCAGGTAAGATAATAAATTTCTGCTTAATTAAACCACATTCCTTTTTTTTCCACAGCAACTGACAATCTTGGCTATTTTCAATGCTGCAAGATGTATTCACATCAGTATATGCTGGGAAAAGTACGATACACCTTTTGTTTAATGTCAAAAACCAGTATTTCCAGCCATAAAATCAAGATTGGCATGACCAAGACTCTCTGAACTTCACACGTAAGTTTTCTCACATATTTAATCAGAGGATGTTTACCCTAAGTCATTACGCTGGTTTGGCAGAGATATTGAATGTCATGGGGAAAACAGAAAGAGGAAGGAAAGATTCAAATATTTAAAATGGACAGAAATGTATTAAACTATTGTTTTAACAAAATGAACACTTCAGTGTATTTGAGTCAAGACACCTGCACCAAAAAAATCCCCCAGTTCAAAAATCTGAGTTCAGAAAATGAATAAAATTAAACCCGAATGAACTTGACTGCTGGGTCTATAAATGAATTAATCTATACAACTGGTTTTGCAACTATAAAAGCATTAAGGGCCAGGTTAGAAAAGTAGTTTCCCCTTTATTTGCCAGCAATCACTGTAATCTCTTCATCAATGAAGTACTTCATCAGAAGGTACTTTTCAGTACTTAAATCTTTCATATACCCTAAACAACTCCGGGTATGAAAAACAGGAAGGTTCACAGAGTCTTGAACAATGACTTTTCTTCTTTGGGTGGCTGGGTGGAGTCACAGAATTATGTAGGGAAGTTATTTCCACAAATTAAAATAGAACCTTTGTATGTGTGTGAAGGGATGGAATTAGGGCCATCCATTCACTGGCTATACTCCCTTCTTTTTGCAAGAACAGATCTCAGCGTTCTCTCCAGCATTTCTTTTTACTTAAATGAAAAAGTTGGTACTTTATGTAAGGGTGGATTTTCCCACTAGACTTGCTCTGATCTAAGAGAAGTAGCTGTCAAGAAGATATTAAGAGGTCCTGAGCTTTTCTGCTCCTCACTGCAACTCCTGCCCTCTCCCCTCACATTTAAGAATTGTAGCATCCCAAGTGAGCTACATCAGTTCATTGATCCAAGAGACAGCAAACCTCTGCAAGAAAAGATTAGGTTTTGACATGACAGGGATTTCTTCAAAGGAACTACCTCTTTGGGATAACAGCCTGAAATTAAACAAGGTAAAGCAGCATGTGAAACTGTATCTCCAGCCTAAGTCTTCATGGATGTGAGGTGAATGCAATACTGAAGTATTCCCATCACTCTATGCTGACTCTGTTCCTTCCTACTTAAGCATTGGCAAGAAAAACTCTGCAAAGCCAGGAACAATTCCTTCTGAAGTAGAGTCAAACATCTGAAAATAGATATGTACTATTAATTTCAAAAAATAAATAAAGATCCTAGTATCTTAGTTACATCTTAGTTAGTATCCTATTATCTAAGTATTAGACTTAATCCATTTGACTCAATGAACAGTGAGTCAGCAACATTCACTGATTTTTCAAATCACTACCAAGCATATAAAAGTTAAAATATTTTCCTCAAAGACAGCCTCCCAAATAGGCTTTCTTTTCACCTACTTTGCAAGAACTTCTCAGAATTGCAGACTTACTGCTTTTCCCAAAGAATTCTGTCACAGTCTTCAAATTTTGTTTATGCTTGGCTTTTTCATTCAGATTAATCAGCCATCCAGTATTTTGAACAGCTGATTATTCTGAATGACTTCCATTCAGACATTCTTTTCCACGACCTTTAGCAAGGACACAGTTTCCCCATGTGTCTGGGATTCCCAGCCATGCTTTCTTTTTAGACTACTTTGCACTATAACATCCCATTTCCTTCCAGATTGTAAAAATTTCAGGTTTAAACATATTCAACTGCTGGATGCCACAAACAATCCTACAGTACTGCTAATATGAAAAATCCTGCACTAAAATTTCTGCCTCGTAGAAAACCGATTTCAGTTGTAACAATTTGGTTAAAAAGAACACTAACTTGGACTGAGTTCTACTTTATTTATATCGCTTCACATGCACAGAATTGTATGATCCTCTGCAGAATTTCTTCTAAAGCACACAGGGAAGAAGAGAACAGAATTGGATCTCCTGCTCTCACACACTTCCTGTGACATGTCTGTATCACAAGCACAGAGCAGCCCATAAAGTCTGTACCGATTTTTCTCTCACCATGTCTCAGACACATTTCATAAGATGACAGATGGATTCATAAATCTCACTGTACATTTTTATTAAAAAACACTGACATTTTATTTTCCCCATCTTTATGATTCAAAGTATGTCTTTGTATTTCTAATGAGTTGCAGCATTGCTCCTAGTGTAGGCTGCTAGATATGTGAATTTTTAATTCTGAAGAGAAGCAATATATTCTGCAGACTTCGTAAGTCATGTAAAAAGGAATGTCAAGCCTTTATTGGATTTCTCTGACTGAGTTTTATATCCACCAACCTTTTAAATCGTACTTGAATAAATTACTGTATTTGGTTTATCGGGAATAAAATAATTCAAGAAAGTCTAGGCAACTACCATAAACCAATGTATGCAGTTTCCTGCAAAATAATTCTAATATAGTATCATCCTTCACATATATTTAACAGAATGTATTTTATAAATAGCATAAATTTTGTATCTGAACGCTTTTATTTCTAAAGATAGGAAAATTATGACTAAGACTCTCGATCATATCTGAGAAGCTGTGGCAGCCCAGTTAAGTTCCCTGACTGGAAAGGAGGAGATATAACCCTCATTTTTAGAAGAGGAAACAAAGGAAAACCCAGAGAATCACAGGCTGGTCAGTCTCACCTCAGTGC